TTCCTGACTTCCTGCCATCCCAAGACTGCTGACTGGCGCATCGGTCCAGCGCTTCCTTATTGTCATTTAACCTAAAAATTCCTAGGATCCCGGCTGACCTGGGGTGCCGGTCGAGAGAGAGAGATTTAGAAGCCAACAAGAAATGTGGCACACACCGGCTCTCTCGATCGAAGCTAAGAAACCACGGCGTGGGGTGGGTGGGGTGGGTGGAAAGGACTTAGTCCTTAGAAACGCAAACGGCGGCGTGCCGCGCGATCCTGTTTTCTTAATGCCCGCAACAGACTGTAACAGGCGTCATCCCCAGAGAGGCCATGCCCAGGGTCAGCCATGAGAGGAGGGCTTTTTTCTATCCGTCCAAAATCCCCGGGTACCCTAAGTATAAGGGCGTAGACGCCCCGCCCGGGCCCTTACTAAGTAGGGTTACTCTACCTGGCCCAGTGGGGATTTTGGGCCTACTCTGCTACTCAGTGTACAGTGATCGTCTTGGGGCCCTACTAAATGGCGCGAAATTCCCACGGGAAAGTAAGATGACGCTTCCAGGTTTCTTTTGGTACCGTGGCGTACCTGTGTCGAACCTGGTGTGCTGTGAGAGAGTTGGTGCGTGCGAGGCATCCAAGGCGAGCACGGTCCGGTGGCAACGCGGACGGCGCTTGTCTCCATGGCGCGTTCTATCCTCGAGCAGGAGCGCTGCTCGCCGGCGCTGCTCGCTGCCTTCGACGCGTCGGCGCGCGGGAGGAATTATGTGGCGATGGAGCAGCTGTTGGCCTTAGTATTGCGGCCTATCCCGCCCGACGCGTCGATCGCCCCCGACGATTTGGTTGGGGCGGGGCTCGCGCGGCGCGTCAACACGGACCTCAAGTCGACGCTGCGCGTGAGCGCGCTGCAGAAGCTGGCAGGCGAGCTGCACTCGCCGGCTCTAACGGCGAGCTGCACCGGAGGCGAGCTGTGTGGTGCGCTCGAGGACGAGGGCCTTCGCTCACGCGTAATGGCCGCGCTCGACTCCGTCGAGCACTTCTGCGTGGCGAAAGGCGTCTCGAAGGGCTTCGCCGACACGTCGTCGCGCGAGACGATTGTCAATGCTCTCCGCGCAGGCCTGGACGCGTACGCGCGCCCGCGTGACGTTCTTGAATTCACCGGCGGCCAGAGGGCGCTGTGGCAGCAATGGCTCGATGAGCAGCGCGGCGTCGATTGCCCGCACAACGCCCCGCGGCTACTGCACGCAGCGGCGCTTCAGTTTGAGATGCGGGAGGCGCGGGGGCTCCCCTCGGCAGCGGTGCTGGTGGCGGCGCTCGCCGCCGAGATTCAGCAGACGAGAGAGCAGTTGGTTCGTGCGGCTCGCGCAGCTTTTGCCGCACGCGTGCAGGCTGCCGTCTCCGCCACGTGAGCGTCGCCACGCCACACGATGATACAGATCACAGCACAAAGAATTCAACAGCTCTCTCACCACACAAGAGCCTTCCGAAACTCAGTCTATCACGCGTTGATGGCTGCGACCGACACTCCCTCCGCCAAGGCGTGCAATGAGGCGTGCGTCGCATGCCGTGAGGAGGAAGAACAACAGCCTACGCATCCAGCCGCCAGGGGCAGGAAGGTGACAGGCATGCTGGAGGTGAC